CTTCTCCTCTCTGTCAACGCTCTCTGGTTTCATTTAAAAGAGTCGATCATCAGATATTGTCCAAGATTAACCTTCAACCTATCCACGTCATCATTTACCCAGAATGCTTTGTGTGTAAATAAAATAGCTCTGTACGAGTTAAAATGTATTTTTAAAATTTTACAAAACTAAACAGCTTACATTATTTTTAGTCTTTATTTTACAAATAAAATATATGTTTATCAAATAAAGTCTAATGTTACAACTAATCATGGATCCCTTTAAGTATTTTACTCGGTGCTTCACTCTAAAGACACATAAATAAAAAGCAACAACATTACAGAAGCACAGACAGACTTTAAAGTGTTATAAAACTAGATTTACAAGTTTTTTTTCCCAAGAAGTGTAATAAATTTTCAATTAAAGCTTCAGAGTTGACTATTGATACAAAAGCAAATTTAAAGATTTCAACTTCCATCTGAATAATTTACTAAATCGAAGGTAGCTTGTTGAATATTTGGTGAAAAATAAAATATTTAAACAAATGGATAAAAAATTCCTCAGTAACATTCAGAAAATGTAGAACTTCAAGAAAAATCTAATTACTAAAACATCTCTTATTTGAACACATTTTTCTACAGTCAGTAAACTACTGAACCAAAGAAATCAAGCTTTAAAATATTCTCAACATACTTTTACGTATTCTTTTCATTGGCTCAAAAACAAAAACAAATTCCCTTTAAGTAGATTTCTGACTGACTTCAACACACTAAATACAGATGTTTCACACAATGAAAACAGGACTGAGCTGCTATTAACTCAGGATGCTGACAAATAAACTGTTCCTTTAAAACAAGTTTATCAGCACTATTTTTAATACCTTTCTAAATGATAAAATTCAGAGCATCCTGGTGCTGACAGGCATCACTTTCAGCCTCAAACAAATATTCTGCTGTGCAAAACCAGCAGAGTTGCTCTACTTTAAAGCACTGATCCAGCGTGTGTCACTGCAGCATCGCTCTTTAGTCTGTAACAGCTGACATGGTAAGGTCCACTAACACCTGTGTAAAACTGATCTAAAGACTTTTTACCGGTTCAGAAGTAAAATAAAAACATCAGGAATTGATCCTGATTAACAGAAAAGACTTCAAACTGAGTTCAGGTCAATACCGAGTTTCAAAGTTGATTCTGTTCAAATTTTAGATGTTTTGTTTTAAGACTGTAACAACAGATCCTTTGAAATAGGGAACATTTGGAAAGTTTTAGTTAGGATTCCTCCTTGAAAATAAAAAGAGAAAACCTAACAGGGTCATGATGGGACACTGCTGCAGCAGCTTTCTAACAGAACAGATCCTTACTTCTGTTCTTCAAATGTGATATTCTAAGAAGATTTGATGTTTTACACATCTTCAGGTTGTATTGCCCACTGAAATAACCTTCAGGCATCTTATTTTTTAGAAGGTAGAAAACTGGCTTAAAAATGCCCCTTTTCAAACCGTCCAGCTTGCGAGGGCCTCGATGTAAGACAACTGAAACGATTGTGATGAATTCATGGAGAGGAACTGACTGAAATGACCTGAGTGCTGGGGGTGATGAACGTGAGAACCCGTCGACACGTCAGCCTACAGGAGAGGCTGGGGGGGGCTGGAACATCAAGTTATTGGGGGTCTCCGATGATCCAGGCAGATGGCTGCAGTTTTTACGGTGAAAGCAGCGCCGGTACTTTGTCTTCAGATGGGTGTGAGGAGGAAACATCTGATTCTACATGGAGGGAAGACACAAAATATTAAGGATGCTGCTAAAAAAGAAAACGTGGTTTTACAACTGGTTTTACAAACAGGAAAAAATAACTTGGGTTAAAACAACAAATTGCAACAAACCAGATTTTATTCCCAAATCCAGTTTTAAAATATAACGTAATTTTTTAAATAAAATGCTCAATAAGTTTTTTTTTTTATAATATGAGTAACATTTATAGTGGAGGTAGTAAACCTGGTTCACTTTATGGACTCACTAAACTGACTCAGATCACTTGTGTTGTTTACCTTGTTCTCCACTCCACACCACCACTGGTTGCCCCCCACTCCCAAAAAAAATAAAAATAAAAACAAGAAAGAAATGATGACAGATTTAAATTAATCAGAGACGTTATTTTACTAACTCACACACACCGGTGAAAAAACAGCTTCAATGGAACAAAACAGAACAAAATGAAAAAATGTGCGAATCAAGTACAAACTAATAAAAATGTTAACTTAGGTTATTTTTGTTTAACACAGGTTTTGATTTTTCAGTCAGCAGCGTTTTCAGAAATTCAGCTTCTTTTCCAAAAAGTTTTCCAACTCTCAGACTTGGCAGTAGTCTGCTTGAACATTCATTCCTGAAAAAGTGTCCTGGGAGTTCCTGACAGACTGGCCCACATTCAACAGCTGAGTTGAAGTTACTCATATCTGAGTATTGTTAAAAAATAATAACATTTACAAAGCATTTGTTTGAGACATACAGTGTGTACCAGTGAAGCTAAGGTGCATGTTTTTGTTTTGTGAGAGGAAAGTACCGGGAAAAAAACCAGGGAGAACATGTAAACAGCACCCAGAAAGGTCCCAGGCTGGGATTTGATCCAACAACTGAGAAACAACACCTCTATCAACTGAGCCACTGAGCGGCCAAATGTTTTATTTATAATGCTGATAAAGATTCTTAAGTCATCCGGATCATGAGTAATAAATAAAAATAAAATAAAAAAATCATATTTTTATTCTGAGTTTCATAGACACTTATGAAGGTCTATAAAACTTAGAAGTCCCCACTACTCAAAACATTTTGAACTGACAAAACCTTTCTGAAGGGAAGAGAAACATCTACAGTTTCAAAATAAAAGTCCAGTTGTACATTAGTTAATTTACACTCACCGGCCACTTTATTAGGTACACCTGTCCAACTGCTCGTTAACACTTAATTTCTAATCAGCCAATCACGTGGCGGCAACTCAGTGCATTTAGGCATGTAGACATGGTCAAGACAATCTCCTGCAGTTCAAACCGAGCATCAGTATGGGGAAGAAAGGTGCTCCCTCAGTTTATTCTCCCTATCCCTCGCCGCACACCTCCATCCTCTTCACTTTCAATGTCACCCATGTAGGTTTTTTTGGGGCACAGTTGTGCTCCTCCACGTCGAGAGG